CTTGTGCAAGGTGGGAAGCAGCGTCCCGGCGGCAGGACCGGCCGTGGCCGCGGGAAGCAGCGCTGCTAAAAATACAGCATTGTGAAACTGCTGGCACCTCTGCTTCCCCCCTCCGCCGGCCTGAGCTGCAGGATGTCTGCTTTGCTTTGACATGCCGGCAAGCCACTCTGTAGCCAGGACTTCTTCCTCTTCCTCCTCCTCCTCCCCTCCAGGAAACCTGTTTCGGAGGCGTGGAGGGAAGGGAGCAGGAGGAAAAGGGCTGGAGGCAGCGGAAGGGATGGGGGGTGATATATGTCCTGGCGTATGTGAGTGTCTGGGGAGCAGCAGACGAAGGTGGGGGCGGCTTGGATATGGGGTGCCCTGCATTAAAGGGGAGAACGGGGCCATTCCTTGCACCCCTAAATCTTGGGAATTTCTTATGGAGGGAAGGTGGAACTAAGCTGTGAAAGATGGGCTTGTTCCCTTGCCCCACAGCTGGATCTGGGAAATTTAGGGTGAACAGTGTGTTGGTTGGTGAGGCTCAATGCAAGAGGGAGCCCTGTGACGTGCATGGTGGCTGGGGCAGCAAACGGCGGCTGCACAGCCACCATCATTGTGATGCTCAGGCGGTGACACCCCATCGTGTGGGGGTACCACCCTGTCACCTCCCAAGGGGCAGGGGGGCTGCCTTTTCCCTCCCTTAGGTGTCATCCGATGGGGGTTTTCCCCTGCTGTGCGAAGCAGGAATTGCGTCGCTGCAACAAGCAAGTCTTGGGCAGGCAGGATCCAGCTGGAAAAGTCTGGCTGTCTGTGGAAGAAGCAATAAATCTCTGGGAGCTGGCAAACAGCAGTAAAGAGGAAATGCCGGAGCCGGCTGCATTACCTCTGCCGTGCCGGCAGGCTGCTCGGGGTGCGATCTCCAAGGCTGCCCTGTCCTGGGAAGCACCAGCGATGCAGCGGGGAGACCGTGCCATGGACTGGGTGCCCTTCTAGGCTTGCGGTGGTTTTTTGAAGGGGTAGGGAAGATGGAGGTGTTATTTTTGTTGAGGTGTTGCTTTCTTTTGAGTTTCAGGGGGGTATATCTGTGGGATTTGTTGTTTGTTTGTTTGTTTTCTTTAAATGAGGGCATACTAAAGTGCAAGTAGGGGAAGGCAGTAGAATGTTTAAAACACTTCAGAGCAAAGGAAAGTGCAAGGCTGTAAAGGTAGCTGAGAAAGTAGTGCTTAAAATGCTGGAAGATGATCTGGATGCTCAGTCTGAGCAGTTGCTTGTTTCAGCGGCCTCCACCTCTGCAAGCGCCTTCGTGCCGGCAGAATGCTGTAGAATGCAGATTTAAGAGTGATGCAGTGCTGGCCTCGCTGAAGTTGCAGCTTTTACATTTTTGCTTTTGTTAAAGCGGTCCCTAAAAGTTTAAATGGAGAGCTATGCTGGGTGCTCAGGGTATATCTGCAGCGAGTGATGGCCCCGGGCTCTGAGCTGTTGCTGTCTGACTAGCCAGGCAAGCGCAGGGCGGTGAGGTAACCTGCACGAGATCACAGATACATACTGGGGGGAAAAAGGATATTTAATGCATGAGGATGCGCAGCCTGGAGACCAGCATGATGCTGCCATCGGTGGTTGGAGCTCTCGTGGCTCTCGTGCCAGCAAACAGCAGTGGCTGTAGGATGGGGAGGGAAGAAAGTACTGAGCTTATATCTGGAACAAGTTGTTGTATTAAAAATGAGATTACCCCAAGCAAGGTGCAGTGGAAGGCAAGGTTACTGTGGCGAGCCGATGGGTTTTTCTCCCTCTTGTTTTCTTTCCTTAGGGAAGAAAGATGCCTTAATTACAGCCTACGCTTCTTGGTGGTAGAAGGATATATGCATTTTATGGAAAAAGTTACTCATCGTAGCCTAAACCCTGTTTTCATTAGTAAGTGAGTGTTGCTTTCTCTTAAGAAATCCAGCTGCTGTTGGATTAAAACTTCCATTTGGAGGTCTTCCGTGCTTTGTTAAAAAAGTCAGGTGATGCAGGAGGGACGTGGGGTGTTGCTGGGGTGCATTCGGGCTGAAACCAGCCCCATCTGAAGATGGTTTAGCTGGCTGCCGCAGGCAGACCTCACTGCTGGGGTGGGTTTGATGGGTTAGAAAAGACTCTATCCCTTCAGCTGACGCTCCCAAATGACTAAGAAATATTTTGAGGATAGCTTGCGGCCTGCTGGCGATTCAGTGTTGGGCATTTTAGGGCAAGTTTGATTGGAAAGCAACTGCTGCTCCTCCTCGCACTGCTGTCACCCCAGCCTCACCAGAGGTGGCAGGGGGTGCTGGGGCGGGTACTGCTGGGCACGGAGGGCAGCATGCTGGGGCAGAGCAATGTTTCCTTGCAGGGGTAAAACCAAACCAAAAAGGGCTGCTGCCTTTTCACCTCTCCCAGCCAGCACAGAAACCCAGCTCTTCCTTGGGATCTCTTCTCCCCTGGGAGCCATCAGGAGACCTGCACTTTAAGAGCGGCACTGATTAATTTGGAGACGTTCTCCTTCTCCCAAGAGGATAAACATGGACTTCGTTATGCCCTCAGACAATGAACGAGCCATGCCAGGCTGGATTTGGGTAACTGCGAAGCCACAAGCTGCCTTATTTGGAGCTGGATTTGAGCACAGACCAACTTTCGTGACTTTTCTCCATAGCCAGTGTTTGGAGAACCTCAGGCTCTCCCAAGTGTGAGAGGGATGAGGGACTGGTGGGGAGGTTGCATTGGTTGCTGCAGGAGAAGCGTTAAAAGCTGATTATTTTTGTGGCAAATTGGGGAAAGGCTTGTAAAATGTTCCCTCCCCCTCCAGGAGCTGGTGGGGATTTGGTCCTTCTGGTAACTGGACAAGCCCCGAGGTCAGCTTGCTCTGTGGGTTTTGCACAAATTGTGTGCTTTTGCCCTAGCTTTGATGGCACCCCTGTAACAATCTCTTGGCTGGGATTTGCAGAAAGGAGCAAGGAGGAAAAACACCAGCTGACCTCCCGAGGGGCAAAGTCGGTCTCCCACTGACAGCCTGTCTTGCAGATCCCAGTCCTTGTGCGTTCACTGAAGCTCTGCTGCGCTTGCACAGCTGGAGACTTTGCACTTTTACTGAACAAACTTTTTTTTTTTCCTAGTGTGACCTTCACGGCGCGTCTCATGCCTGTAGCTGACTAGACTTTTGAAAAAAAATCATGTTTCCGCTTCTGTACTCTTCGTAGTTATCTTCCCTTTTTTAAGATGAATGGCTTTGAGGATTTAAGACACTCAAAATTAAATTGGCATTCCAGCCTTTCATAGAAGTGGCACTGAATTCTTAAGGGTGTTTTTTTGTTTTTTATGTGTGTGTGTATTTTTTCTCCTCTCATGGTTTTTAAATGGAAGGGGGGGGGGGGGTCATGACGAACACTCCTGCTGGAAACGCATGGGCTCGAGTTCCTCTCAGTGCCACCTTCCCTGCTGCAGTGCCCCTGACCTGCTCCCATCCTCCGCTGCTGTTTGGAGCCCCTCTCTGAAAGAGAAACCTGTGAGGAAGTCAATCGTAAAACTTCCCGTTATTTGGACATATTCAAGTGGTAAGCTGGGTTGATGCTCCATATGCAGAACATCTCCTCCCATGTTTGAAGCATGTTTTTGTCCTTGCCCTAGGGGCTCCATTGTGCGTGTCTGCTTGCACACGTGTGTGTGCACGAGTGCTCTGCTCTTCTGCTGGACAACAGAAGGTTGGGCAAGGCAGCGGTGTCAACTCGCAGAGTGGTAGCCTCCAAAAGTGGTGTGGTTGTGCCTTGGCCTGAACCAAGGCTTTGCTCTCTGTCAGTCCCTGTATTAGGACATGAAGGAAAGCCGTACGTGCCAGAGCAGCGGGAGAGCGTGGTCTCAGCTCACAGCCCACCCATGGGGACCTGTGTTACAATTCCTCTTTTTCTGTCGTGTTATGAAATTAAATGGGCAGTGGACCGAGCAGTGGAAGTGATGGCCGCAGGGGTTCCTGTGCTCATGGGATACCTTGGAAGACAAGATATTAATCGAAGTGATGCTGCAAGGGCAGCTGTTGTGTATCCCTGTCTGTCACCTCCTGATGTGGGACATCCCCGAGACCCACGGGGAGGGCAGTAGTGGGATATAAACAAAGATGCTGCTGGAAATGTTACTGGGCTCCCACTGAGTGTGGTTTCTTAGTCATCTGTGTGCTCCTAAACTCTGTGCTAAATGTCAAGACATGGACATCATGAAGAGGGTGTTTTGGGGGGTTTGAAGGTGTTTTGGATTCCCTGTGAGTGGGTGCAGTGGCAGTTCAAAGCCATGCTGTCTCTGCTCTTGCTCGGCATTACTAGCAGTTTTACTGTCTTTTGGTGTCACGTCAGTTGGACAGGTCTCCCCCGAGGCAGAGCAGCTTTTGGGGATGCAGAAAGCTCTGTCCCACTAGATCTGCTCAGACTGGAAGCCTGACCCTGGATGGGAAGTAATGTGCACTTGAGATTTTAGGGCAAGAGAAATTTATGGTCCCCCCACTTTTCTGAGCCACGGTATCCCCATCCTTTGTACCCAGTTCTCAGCAGATCAAACAAAAGCCTGTTTGTACATCACAGAGAAATGAAATGGGCTGGTAACAGCTGTTGAGAAAAGGAAGTAATTGGGGCTGATCCTAGCTCCTGTTGAAAAGCTCTCCTAAAAGCCTCAGTTGCACATCTCGTGCTTCTTGGGTAAGGCTGAGCCTTCCATTTCAGTAGAGTAATAAAATAGCTCTTGGGAAGGAAATCACCTGCAGGAACTGGAAAGGGCTTTGCACAGCCCCAGAACGAGGGGTCCTCTCGCAAAGCAGGGAAGATCATGTGGCTCGTGGTGTGGGGCACAAAGCACGTTGTAGGGGTGGGACAATGGTTAGGAAGGATGTTCTTGTATGTGAAAGGAGTAAATAAGAATTTGCAGAAAGATGAAAAGCAAGCCTTCTGCTCCCGCCCGAAAACTGCTGCTGTGGGTCTGGTGTGGCCGGAGCAGTGGGTAATGCCTGCTTCCCTCTGCTTTCTCCCCAGCTGGCTGGAGGCATCATCCTGGGAGTGGCCCTGTGGCTCCGGCATGACTCGCAGACGACGAATATCCTCTACCTGCAGCTGGGGGAAAAGCAGGCCCCCAACACCTTCTATGTCGGTAAGTAGGTCTGGGGATGCTGGCGTTGTTGTGGGGGTGTCATGCCCTGGGGTGGACTGCTCCCTGCCCTTCAGGGAGGAAAGCTCCAGGTGAGCAGCAAGGAAGTCAGACTGAAAATACCTTCTCCTCCCCCCGTACTCCCCAAAATATCCCCTGCTGTGCCAATCAAAGTGTTCGCTAAATGTTGGCTGTGGCCCAAGCGCAGCATCCAAAGTCACGGTGGCTAAAAGCAGAAAAAGACATGTCGCAGCATAGCAGGTTTTCTCCACTGCCATTCCCTGCTGCTGCCTGCCCCGGAGCACATTTGGGAGGAGGGGGGGGACTTCTTGGAAGTGTGTCTCGTTTCCTATCCAAAGGGATGTAAAAGTAGCCGACGGAGCGGCTGGCAGTGGAAAGTGGAGCTCAGCGAGCTCGTGACTCATGTTCTCCAGGAGGGGCAGGTGGAGCCTCTGTGTGTTATGGTTAAGCTTAGCGTGATTTTTATTAGTTTGACAGCATGCTGGCTTGCTGGAAGATGAAAACTCCTATTTTTGCCCTATTCTCCAATGATCCCTTGTGGACAACGGGGAGCAGCTTGCGGGAGGGGCTGGCTCCTAGGCAGGGGCAGGCTTGGAGTGCAAGCTGCTGGGGCTGGGGTGAGGACCCATCTGATCTGATGTCCTGTTCTCACCTGTAGCTGAAGTTGCCTTTGGGTAAAGGGTTTTTCTTTGGTTTTCCCTGCTTGCCCATGAAACAGCATGCCTGAGCCTTCTCACTGGTACAGTAGGTGCTCCTGCTGTAAATAGCAGTGGGTTTTCCTCTCTTGCTGTCTCGCCTCTCCTGCCGCCCACCCAAAGCTGTATTTACGGTGTTTCCCTTTTGTGGATTTCAAGTTTAAAAAAAGAAAAGGGAACTCTTAAGAAGTTAAACTTTCCAGAAACCAAACATCTCCTTCCTTCTGGGGCCCAACAACCAATGTCTCCCTAGTTAACACATTTGTCCCAAAACCTGGGGGACCTGAAGCACAGGGGCCAAGTCCTCCCCTGCTGCCTGTTGGGCATCTTTTGCTTTTCCACCACTTTTTGTTTTGTCTTTGTCCTCAGCCTTTTCCATTTAGAAGGCAATGGGGAATGGACCACGGGTCCCACCACCACGCTGGCTTTCTGGTGCCCATGAACAGCCTGTGATTTGAAGCTGGCTGTCTTCTTAAAGTTATATTCAGCAACAGATCGGCCTGGATTCCTTCTGGCGGCTGTAATTTCCATGCAGTAATAACAGCAGAGCATTTTTTTCGGCGCCTGCCTCTCCCAGCCAGCCCTCTGGAGTCTGAAAGCTGGGATTTCTTTTTGCCTTTTTTTTTTTTTCCCTCCCCTTTTCCCCCCTTCTCTGGCATCCAACATACACATGCACACGATGTTCCTGCTTCGGGAGTGGGAACCTCTCTGGCGTTGGCCTCCAGAGCTGGTTTGAGTTTTGATTTGGTTTTTTTTTGTTGTTGTTTTTTTTTTTGCCCCCCCCCGCCCCCCCGCAAACCACTCTTTTGGTGTCTGGCGTGGGGCACTGGTCCCGGGATCTGTCAGGAGGCTTTTAAAGGCTGGCCAGGCTTTGCTGCAGCACTGCAGGACAACGGGAAGCAATAAAAACTGTTGGAGGAGGAAAACTTGTGCTGTGGGGTTTGTACTTAGCAAGGAGAGGGAGTGGGAAAGCAGCGCTTTGGTGTCTCCTGGTTTCTTTCTGTGTCCTTTCCCCTGGAGCTGTTTTGTTAAAGGCTGTTTTCCCAGGGTGTGTGTGTGTTAAAGAAGAGGAAAAATAGATTACCACAGCCAGTCAGCGTGTGGGATTTGATGGCAATGGGGAAGTGGGAGAGGGAGGATGTGGGGAGCAGGGCAGCTACTGGGGTACCAAATGTGAGGCTTGTTGCCTTCAGCTTGCTGCAGGAGGAGAGGAGTGATCCTTGCCCTCAGCTTCTCCCGCAGCCGGACTGCATCGCTGCAGCAACCGCTCCTGCAGCCCCCGCGGGCACTGGTGGCTGTTCCCCCCTCGCCTCTCCAGCCTGCGAGGAGGGAGCTCCTGGGATTGGGGTTTCCCACAAGCGGTACCACCCTCCCAGCTCTTTGGCACTGCATCCAACAAGTTGTCTTGTGGGCTGGCTTGGGAGGTTATTAAATGAGCTGTTGTTCATGGGCCTTTCCTCAGCACGGATCGCAAACCATCTGATCCCCTTAACCACTTGTTGCTGCCTTGGCTTTTGGCACTTCCATTTTGGCCGTGGACCCAATGCTTCAGCAAATGGCAAGTTAACTGCTTCAGTGCTGTAAGACCAAGAGGGACCAGGGATGGGGATAGCTGTAGCACAGTAGTCTCATGCTTTTGTGACTATGAAGGAAAATACTCTTCATCTGAGCTAGGCTTATGGTCTAATATGCATTTATTTGCTATTTGTAGTTGAAAAACTAAAATCCTTCTTGCCTCTTGCCCTTGTGTAACACTGCATCTGAAGTGCTCTGCATGTCTGGAGGATGGGCAAGGTATTGATGGCAGGTCAGAAAACATCCTTCAGGACAGCTAGAGGCATTGACAAGTTGGATGCTAACAACTGGTTAACCACCTCTTAGATATTTATTGACCCTACACATAAAGCACCATTTTTAAAGCAACAAAACTGTGGTTCAATGAGTTATGAGAGCCGTGGGAAAAGGCTGAGTTGGTCCATCTCTGCAGATACTGGTACAAACTGGAGCATTTTGATCTTTCCACAATAAGCTAGTGCTGTTGTGTCACTGCTTTTAAGAGCCCCTGGGGATCTTGAAGAGGACAATGACACTGGGCTTCTTGCTTTTGCCTCATCTCGGTGAGACGATAGTGAAGATAATGTGACAGGGGAAAGCCAGGTTCCCCATCCTTCAAGGATTTGGTTATGTGACGCCCAGAGATGGCTGCTGCAGGTGAAATGCTTTCAGCAGGCTGGGGACAAAAGCCTTGGCTCTTGTCTGCCTTAAATCCCCACCCCTGGGTTTCACCTTCCCCCCTTGCTGGGCCGGCTGTGCGCTGGGAGCATCACCGGGTGCTCACCCCTGCTGCCTGCCCTCCCTGTGCTTTCCCTGAAGCTGCCCAGTGAGGAGCAGAGCGTCAGCCCCACGGCCTCGGCTTGGCTCTCGCCTGCGAGATCCAAAATAGGAAATCTGCCTCCAGCTGCTCGCAGCAAGTGACAGGGTGACACGACCCGTGGCTCTAATTAGCTCGGCCCTGGGAGCGGGGCCAGCCAGGAGGAAGAGTGCAAAGGCATCCAGAGCTGGGGTGCGGTTTTCCGTGTAGCTTTGGGAGTGAGGAGGGGGTCGGTTTTGCTTCTGTTTAGGTTTTTTGTGTTTTGTTAGTAAATCCTCTGCTGGGCAGCGCCTCCTCCCTGGAGCACCGGCGCTCCTTGGGAGGGGTGTAAGGTTTTGGAGAGGCATGCAGTGGCGAGTTACTCGGCCACCGAGGCTGCTGCGGCCG